CTTACTACTGTTTATCTGTTGCAACATCATTAGGATCTTTAATTCCCAGTCTTGGCGATGTCAGTCACATCTTGAAAGCGAAAAATAGCCTTCATCTAAACACACCATCGATCATAGTTCTTCCCATTAAGAATAGGAAGAGAAGTTGGTAGGTTTCCAGTTGTTGCTGCCATATTCAAATTCTCCAAAGACTTTCAGTCTCCAAGATCAAGAACAACCAGCTCTGGATACCAAATGTTGTTGTCTTAAATATGATCTTCACTCAGATCACACGCAGTTCACTTTTGTTTTTTTTACAATTATTGATTACGAGAGTAAAACTGAAGGTTATATTCATAAGAAAAAAGTACAAACTTTATATAGATTAGTTTTTTTCAACTGTCTAACAAACAACTATTTAACTACCAACAGAATTTTAACTAATTACAACAAAAATTCTCCAAAAATCCACGATTCAAGGAAAACTAGAAAAACTCTTCAAGAATCGTTACTTGATGTCACCCAACATGCAAAGATACCTTACTTTGCACAACCTTCTCTAAGAATCCACAATTCAAGGAGAACCAAAAAGATTTTCTACTCTCTTAAGATCTCTTGATAAGAATTAAGAAGAACTATTACAATCAAGAATTATGAATCTTAATTATAACAAAAATCCTAGCATGAATTTAAAATTGAATCTCAAATATTTGAATAAAGCTTTCTCATGATCTCTAAAATATGAATTATGAATATTAAATTCAATGGTTCCAATTAGTTAAATTTGAATCTTACAGTTGATAATTGAATGATAATCAATTATCACGTGCCTTTATCTTTTAGGACATAAAAAAAAATCAACCATTTGTTAATTTGATTAATATGATTGGTAATCGATTATCATGTATTTTTGACTTTTAAGACATAAAACATATTCACTTGGTAACCAATTACTAGAAATTGGTAATAGATTACCATGTTTTTTTGAGACACGAAAGCCACATGATAACTGACAATTGTTTTCAAAATAAATTACAATGGATTATCTAATTTAGTAATTAATTACTATCCAATTTTTGTTTCATAAAACCTTTAACAAATTTTAGTGGTTATGAATTATCAATAAATTACCAATCCATTATGATGATACTTTAGAAAAATTAATACATCATGTTTTAATATCTAAGAAAACTTAACGAGCTTTAATATTTCAAGAAACTCTTAGGTATATATTTATGAAACTAAAATATGAATTTTTCTTACCTTCTTTTTAAAAAAAAAACTTTCTTTTCAAATTTATCAATTTCTTTTCAAAATTTTAGAAAGCTTTAAACAAATTAGAGAGTTCGCAAATGCATACATAATTTGCTAATAATTATAAGGTTAAACCTAAGGATGTCTTTTTACATAAACGATTAAAAAGTTAGGTTGAACTATAAAAAAAAAAAAAGAATAGAATAGAACTCTAATTTTAGGTAAATCATTGTCTTAAAGTACTTTTTTATAATGATTTTTAATCAATAAATAAATGAATTTTAACTTGCTTATTATAAACATATAATAATTTTTAAGTAAATATATTTTAGGAATATTAACCAATGTTATGTCATCCATTTGAAGTACATTGTACAATACTTTCCATGTTATGATCCCTTCACAGATTAGTCAATCAATTCATTTTTACTACTTTGTTGATAGTAAAATTGTTTAATTTAAATTTATATCAATAAAATTCTCTTATATTTTTCTCATCTATGGTTGTTCGTGATTTCTCTTCTTTTTTTGTAGGGACAACTTGACGATACCAATGGTTCAATCTTTGATCAAAATTGATTATGCAACCATTAAAACTTCTTTTGTTTCTTTGTTAAAAAATATATATTTATCAAGTCATTTTCTATGTAAAATGTAAGTTAAATCACTATGTCATCAAATGTATTTGGCCAAACCTTACACGTTGTCTATATTTGCATAATAATCAAGAATTTTGCATTATTCGCTTAAGTGAATCCATTTTTTCTTAAGCGAATAACAAAATTTTCAACCAATGATCTATATCCCAAACTCACTTAACATTAATTTAATTTATTTAACCTAACTTAAGCGGATCTCATTTTGCTTGAGTGAATATGAGATCGCTTAAGTGTGAATGAAGCAAAAAAAACTCTATTCAAGTCTCAAATCCATTGTTCTCTATGCCAAATTGCTTAAGTTTAATTATTTTTGTTGGATGTACTTACTTGAAAGCAATTTCACTTAAGCAACACAATGTTTGCTTCTTTTGTCTCACTTAGGCGAGGTTCCCACAAATGAATGTTTTCTCGCTTGAATAGAATTTTTTTACTTCAATAAATTTTACTATTTTTTACTCGAGTGAGACAAATTTTACTTAAACAAAAATGAATTGGAAGTTCTTGTTAACATAAAAACTACCATATATAAAATTTTAATTGTATTTTAAAAAAGATAAAAAGCAAAAATGATAATAAAAATATTATTAATTAGCTTTTAAAAGTAAAACACTTTCTCCGTCACACCGAAAATGTATCAAGACTCATGTTGTTTTTTGAATATTTTGTATTAAATAATTTAAAAATATATTTTAAAAAATAAAGTTACACAAAAAGATGTTATACTAAATTTTAAGTTTTTTATTACATCAAAACTTTAACATTATTATGAAAATATTTTTTATACAAGCTATTTATTATTTTTCCTTGTCCAAACAAACAAAAAAGATTTTCTCTATTTGTTTCACTTATTTATATTTATCCAAATAATAGATATAAAAACCATTTTTTATCTCCTATTTTATCCTCTAATTCACCTTTTCATCCGAACCAAGCCTAACTCATCTTCAAAATATAAAAAATAACTAAAACCAAGAACAAAGAAAGTGCAAGAGTTTGCCTAAATTAAAAGAAAAATTTTGGATCAAAATAAATAAATATGTTTAACGCATAAACCAAACAATCTAATGCAAAAAAAAAAAAAAACCGAAAATAAGATAACTTGATGTTTAAAAGTATGTTTGATTATTGTTTTAAAAATAGTTTTCTGTTTTTAAAAATTAAATTCAATACAAATTTGTTTTGAATTTTATTTTTAATAACAGAACTGTTTTTAAAAAGAAAAACAAACACCCTAAGTTTCTTGTATTTTAAAATTATATAGTATAACGTACTTTAATCATCTTGTGAAACTAGCCAATATAGTTGATTTGGGCGCATGATAAAATCTATACAAAATAAAATTTATTGATAAATTCATTATCATGCGTTAATAACCTCTTTTAAAACATGATAATATAATAAGAACATTAGCATTATAAAATCTTTACAAATGCAAAATACTAAGTTGTTTGTTATCATAACCTTTTAAATGTCTTTTTCTTATAACTTTTTCCCGAGGTGACAACATAATTTGATATTGTATAAAGCCTATATTATTCTAAAGCCATAAGCCACTCTTTGTATGAAACTTAGAACGTCTACGGCCTTCAGAAGCGAAAGCAAACAAACACTATACATCTAAATCACAATAGTAACCTTACATGTTTTCTTCATTCTCTTAATTTCTTTTAAACGTAGAATTAAAAAAAAATAAAAATCACAGTCACATAAATTGAGTTTTGGTGGAAAAACTAATGACTGAAGAAGTGATAAAAGACATGTTAGTTGCATACAGAAGTCTTGTTTTATGTAATACTACTAAAGGAATATGATAATGATTGCAACATGCGTGTAACCTGTCCTTCCATTCGACACACGACTTCATGATACAAAAACACACTTCCGTGCAATATAACAGTAGTGTTAACCACTAAAAACAACAGGTACTGAGAATTCATGAAAAGGCAATCACAGTCAGCCAAGGTAGAACACCCTATATGACAATGGCGAGCATTTGTACCAAAACAAACATTTGTTTACGCCTCCTAGATAACCAACCACGCCCAAGAATCACGTATCTGTACTCGTTCAAGTTTTAGGTAACTATGTTTTTTCTTATCATATTAAAAATAGGAAATAAAGTATCATAACCTGTGCTTGCATATTATTTACATCAGCAATACTAACTTGAGGCAGTGAATAAATCAGTTAGCAGATGTTTGTGTAATCAAGCAGACACAATCAACATGCCCGGCACAGCCAGTGTAATGCGCTGCACCAAGAGAACATCGCTAGACTGTGTCATCAGAAGTACCTGCTTTATTCATCACTTTATAAACTGCCCCATGTATATACTAGGCATAGAAAACCTCGCACCCAAAATAATAATAATAATAAAAATAATAATAATTGGTATGGTCAACATAATTTGGAAAACCAACATAAAAAAATCTGACAATTCCAAAAAAAACAAGTTGACAAGGAAGATCTCAGATGAGTAAGGGAAACATCAAATCCAGCATAAAAAACCACCTTCAGCAATAAGCTGGGCAGTTATTAGAACAGGATCTGCAATAGGATTCTCTTCATCACCCTCCTTGCACAGTTTTTCAATATCAAAACTAAAAACAAACTGTAAAAAAAAAGGAAAAAGAAAACAAGAAAATTCAAGTGAAAGTAACTAATAATGTTGTGAAATATAGTATATAGTACTATAAACACTTTCATGAGGTCATAAGATTCAATCAAGATTCTTCAACATTGCAATCACAACCTAGAAGAGGCAGAGAAAGATGGCAACAACCTCTTCTTTATATGGCTTCAAATGCACAGAACAAGTCAGGTCAGTCCCATAACCCGACAGTAGAAGCACCAGGGCTTTAGCAAAGGCAGAAGGATGATACAATTTTGAATTTTCATAAAAGATCAAAATTAGCACAGAATAAGTTGGGTTGGCCCATAACTTGACAGTAAATTATAAAAGATTCTTACACGTGCCACTTCAAATAGTTTCAGTATCATTTGTAAGTTGTACAAAGCACTGATTTTAAAGTAACAAACGCAAGCTATCATAGTCAATTCTCAGTAACTAGATACAAACACATGTGATCAGTGCAATGAAAGTCTTTATCATCAACAAATCCATAAGACTTCTTAACTGGGATCAGACTTGTCCAAAGCTGCAACCAAAGATAATATTAGTGCAAAGTGCAAACTGAAAACAAGAAAACATATTACAGAGGCGGCAGAAATTACTGTTGTAATTCAGAAGCTTCTCAATGAGGTCAACATGGGTCATAAGCATGCGCCTGCAGCAATAACGAACCAACCCCAAAGCATCCAGTGCATCTCTGCATCCCATTATTATATGTAAATACTTTAATATGAAAACCCTATCTAGAAACTAAAATGCTACCAAAGATCCAGTATTAATAATATAATGCTAATGCAGGCTAACATTCATTCAAGGAATGCAGTTAGAGAACAAGGGAAAGCAAGTATTGTATCAGTATGTGATATATTTCTTTTCAAAAATTTTTTCCAAATACCAATCAAACTATCCTCAAAAAAAAAAAAAAATCATTTTTTTAACCTTAATTATCATTTCAAGATAACTTTTGAAATCTGAATAGACCAAACATGTTTCCGCACTAACTTGTTTTCCCTCCATGTCTGAACTGAGTGGTTATAGAAAAATCAACGATTCAAGGAGAAAAATCAATCTCAACAACAATACCTGTTACACAAAGTTCATTTAAGATATAAACTGTTTGAACCAAAAGAAGAATTGATTTTAGTGGAAGTGATAATTTATCACTACCGCGTTACACGCTTCGGTTTCTGTGAAAGTCAGTTTACAGCCGTTCCACAACACATTCCAAAATCAATTGCAAGCATCCAACGATGAAGCTAACAAGCTAATAAACATTAAACACCAAATGATAATATGTACTCACAACCACCGATCAGAGACTAATTGTGCTAAACCCAGGTAACATGGCCGACCTGACCGTATCACACCAAATACAATTTGGTATAAAAACACAAGATGTTCCAAAAAAGAGAAGTACCATAATATAAATATGAAAATAAAACACGTTTACTAAAACCCCTCCGCAAGTAAAACAAGGTCTTTGCACACCTCTCACACAGACCACAGGAACTCATTCCAAGCACATATAACATTGCCACAAAATTGATAACACTTAACCAGATACATAAACAATAAAAACCCCCATTAAATTAATCCGCCTCAGCAACCCCAATAGACCACACTCAATTTCAGCAGTCAAAAGTTAGCCAGTAAGAATCAATAGCGGTTATGCTAAAAGTCCCAATTAAAAAAAACACAGAAGTTGGAACTATAAAATAGACGACTTAGCCCAATACAAGAAAATATAAATGAAACTTCTGCATAATTCCCATTTTCTGAAAATAATAATAATAATAATAATACGACAAAGAAATTGGACAAAAATAAAATTTTGAGAATTGACATACAGACCCTTCAGGGTAATCGGCTTGGAGAAGGTCGAGATAGGTATCCCATTTGTTTCCAATGACCTAAAAGGAAGAAATAAGAGAAAAAAAAACCACCAATTAGAGAAAACCCTAAACCCTGCGTCTCCTGTGCTCAACATTGAAGTTTAAAGGAAGTGAAAAGAAGTAGAAATAGAGTTACCTTCCCACATGTGAAGCAACGAACGGGAATAATCATCTTCTCCTGTGCTCAACTCTGGCTTCTTTTCTAGCCCTTTGTCTGCTCCGAATGAGCGGCGCTGTTACAGGGGTTTTATTTATACAGAGGAGGGAAAAAAATATAAATAAAATATATTTAATAAGCTTTGTATTAGTTTTGGAGAATAATGGACCCAGTTGTGGACGCAGGCCTAAGCAATTTCAAGCCCAAAATAATTCTTCAACAAAAACATAACAACTTTAATGGCCTAACTTTCTTTATAGACCAAAATACAAAGGCTCAACCTTTTGTTTATATATAAAAAATGTATTTAGTGAGATTTAATTAAATTTTTTAATATAATAAAAATATATTGAAAGAGAGAAAGTCTTAAATAATAATACTTAAATTTTTAATTTAAATTAACCAAAATTAACACACTCCTTAACATAACACTTGTATTCATGAATAATTAATAATAACATCAATAAATATTATTATGATACAAAATTTTATAAAATATTGAAAGAATATGACATAAACTAAAACATTTTTCATTAAATAAAATACAAAACCAAAGTAAAAAAAAAAAGTGGTCTTAATAAGTATAAATTCAAACTTAAATTGATCATTAATATAATTTAAGTACTGAGTTATGGGTCATCGATTGAACTAGTGAGTCATTAGTTAATAAATAATATATATTAAAAATAGCATATGTTTTAGTGAAATAAACTAGGTTCAATGGTTATGTATGGTACTTTTTTTATAATTAGGTGTGGAGGTTTGATTCTTGGTGCTAGCTATAGGAACAACAGTGCCAACAAAAAAGGTTTAAAGATTTCACTCGTCAGTTTAATGAAAGATGGCTGGGTTATCGATTTTGGTTTGAATTACCAATTTTATTGAGTTATGTTATTTAGGGGTGTTTGTGGTGTGGTTCTCACTAATACATCAAATGACAAATTCTACCAAGCAGACAACTTACTACAAATTAGGTCTCCAAATTGAATATTACATAATTTATATTCAAATTCAAAAACATAAACAGACTGTCATAAATTAGTATTTAATGCATCTCAAAATTTATATAGTAAAGTGTTGGATGTTTACACAAATACGTTGCACATAAATTCAGAAAATAGTCAAAATACTATGTTTGTTTCCCTTTTTAAAAAAAGAATTAACTTCTTCGTTTTGTCTCCAATATCCATAGCTAATAGCAGCAACAAGTTCACCTGATAATAATATAGAAATTCATTCAACTTCAAGTCTATATATATTGTAACTATCACAACTAGGCTATCATAAATAGAAAATTTTCAAAACAATAAACAACCATATATTAAAATGCAACATAACATGAAAACAAAATAATAAAAGTAAAAAAATTAGTTAGAATTGCAGTTATGATAATTCCATGATTTCCTATTTAATAATTAAGAAATAAAGTAAGTAACAAAATAACTACATATTGAATTTAGCGTTAGAAAAATTTGAATAATTTCAAATATTTATACTTGATTTGAGGGTTTTTTTTTTTTTTTACATAAATACAACTTTTTCAATGCAAAATTATGCATGGGTCCATAAAATATTGTTTTAAGCAAATGTCCTAAAATTGGTACTCCAAAGTCGATTGAAAATAGTTTCTAAACATTGCATATCTCGATCAAAGTCAATTATCGTTTTGGTCATGAGAAGTCTATTAAAGTCAACTTTCGCACTTTATTGAAATCGATTAAAATCAACTTTCCTGCTCCAAAAGAGTCGATTAAACTCAACTTTCACTGCTCATTTTTTGGTGCAAAGAAGTCAATTATAGTTGACTTGCAGCGTAAAGGAAAAACTATTAAAATCGACTTTAATGTAAATCTGGACACGATTATAATCAACTACTTTATACACACTAAACTAGAGAGAGAGATCAGAGAAAAATAAAGACAACGGAAGAAGATGGATAATGATCTATATCGGCTTAATTTTATTAGTCATATTGCAAGCAAGGAAGCTATTAATACAGGTAAATTAATTTTTCAATATATTTAATTAAATTATAATTAAATATTTTGTATTTAATTTAATGTATTATTAATTATGTAATTATATATTTAGAAAGATTATAAATATTAATTATTATATTATAAATTAATTTAAATTATTTGTTATAATTATAATTATTATATTGAGGAATGTAAATAAAATTCTATTATATATTTTTAATAATTATGATAATTTAGTTTTGTATTGTAGTATTTATAAATTATAATAATTTTGTTATAATGTTTTAATTTAAATTTTGTATATATTATTTTGTTATTGTACAAGAACTTCGAATTTTAAAAAGTAGGCGTTATAATATCATGGTTGCTCTAGATTCAAGAATGAAATCATTTCTTAGGAAGACTAGTTTTTGGCATGTTGCACATATGGTCCCAGTATTTAATTATGATAGGACACTCATAAATGCACTTGTAGAATGTTGGAGGCCTAAGTCACCCATATTTCATCTTCCATACGGGGAATGTATGATCACTTTCAAGGATGTTGTGTTTCAACTAGGCTTACATGTGAATGGAGTCCCTGTGAGTGATTGCATTGGAGCGTAAGAGAAATTTTATGATCAGAATATATGGGCATTGTGCGAAGATTTACTTGAAGCAGTTCCTGATGAGAGAAACATAAAATGATTTTTCGTAAAACTACAATGGTTCACAGATACATTTGGAGCATTACCTCAAAATACTGATGGACAAACTATTATCTGTTACACTAGAGCAAATATAATGGTTCTATTTGGTAGGGTATTGTTTCTATATAAATCAGGATTTAGGGTTCATATGAAGTGACTATCTCTTTTAACTGATTTTGCTGAAATTTTAAACTATAGTTAGAGTTCTACTATTATAGCATCCCTTTATCGTGAATTTTGTCGTGCGGTGAAATACAATGTCACCAAGATTGCAGGTTGTTTGCCTCTTCTACAGTCTTGGGCATGGTACAGAATACCTCAATTAGTCCATAGACATCATCATCTTCTCACTTTTCCACTAGCATTGAGGTACATTTATTTATCAATATATTAATTTTTGTTATTTATATATGTTAAATTTGCAAATAAAAACTAATTATGCTCATTTTAGGTGAAAAAGTTTTAGATCATTGACGATATCAGATATGGATAAGTTATTACGATATATGAGGATCATTGATTCAATTGGCATTACTAGGATAAGTTCAAACATGGTCTATGATACTAACTTTTGTTTTAAATGATTTTATTTTTTGGTTTAATATTTGTTATTGATTATTTCAGTTTAGGTGACTCCCTACAACAACAATGAGGTCAGGAACATTACACCTTCTTTTGTGTATGATAAAGTTGATGTTTGGGCATATGTGACTGCTCTTATATAGTTTACTGTGAATGAGTGGCATGTTGTTGACCATGTGGTTCGATAATTTGGTGGAGCACAACACATACCAATCAGCCCAATAAATATTGATCGGTTGTGCGCTAAGGATGAAAGGGGTGATCTAGACATATGGTAGCCTAATTATCATGTGACATGGCATGCTGTACGGGAGTCACGTAGGGAGCAACAAGTTCAATATCCTCTAGCTGATGATGATCGTCCCTCTATCGAGTATTTCTAGTGGTACTTGTCAGACACTAATAGATTTTTATCGTTGAAATTTTAATTTAATGTACTTTGAAATTTTAATTTTATGTCATTTAAAATTTTAATTTAATGTACTTTAGAATTTTAATTTTATGTCCTTTGGAATTTTAATTTTACATTCATATCATTTAATAGTTTATAAAATGATTATACAACAAGAATAAATTTAATTAAAATTATATTTTCTCTTTTATTTTGGATAAAAGATTAAAACTAATTATATAAATTAAGTATATATTAATCATAATTCAAACTCCAACAATGCTCATTGAACATAGACGATACACAAAAAGCCAATAATCAGACGATAAATAACAGATACACTAGAACAAATTTAAATCAACAATATTACTATTAGTACATAAAACACTGGATTAATTATGTTGGCTAGAGAATGGGCATGTGGGCATGTCCGTCTGATATAACTGGTACTTCTACATAATCCACATCATTTTTCCTGGCTCAGATCAGTCTCGACCATTTCATTGTGAATCTTTATGATAATCGGACAACCCTCAAGTGTACGCTTAAGTGCAGGATTTGGTTGTATAGTTGGCTCAGTGTATTGTGGCCACATGTCTTCATTATGAATTGAAGAGAATTGGGCTTTGTTTACATTGAACACAGACGTCATGGTGTAAACCTTATGAACAAAAGAGGTCTAATCTCGTCGGGCGTCAGAACATGCAGTGAGTGCATGACAACATGGATAATGCAATTTTTGAAATTCTCCACAATAACACCATCGGTCTGTTAAATGCACTCTGAATTTCCTTTGTTGATCACGACTTCCTATGTTGTCTCGTTCAAACACCAAGTATTCTAAAGCATTGTGAGTCACTCGAGAGCTACTTATGTTACCAAAGTGTTGCATGTGCTCCTCAATTGCATTTAATAGGGTCTGTGAAAAGTTTTTGCCACTTCCAAGTTGCATCTTTGCCTCTGTGCCCTTTTGTATAAACAACTCAATAAGGCGATAATAAGTTGACTTAATTATAGCTGTAATGGGAAGATTATAATTTCCTTTTCATGACAGCATTCATATACTTAGTTGTCATGAGGCCAAAGCGACGACCCTTATCAATATATTAAGCCCACCTTTTGCGCAGTATGTTGTTAGTCCATGCGCACATTGTGGGGATCTAGATCGTCCAATGCTCTAAACCAATATAGAAAATTATGCTCAGTTTTTGCATATGTTGCATTCATTAGCAATCGCTTTACACCTTTGTTTTTGAACTTTACAACAAAATTTGACGCAATGTGTTGCGAACAGTATCCATGATAAGCTAAAAGGGGATGCCAACCATTGCCTGTAGCTTCTAAAGCTGCTTTGATAGCATGATGCCTATCAGATGTCACAAGAATTCCCTCTTGTGGTGTCACATGCTCACGAATATTTCTCAAGAAAAAAGACCATGCTTC